AAGAATGTAAATTTTAGTTTTCCTCAGTTTGACACAGTATCTTAACGTTAAGTGTAGTTAGGACGTATAGCGGCTTGAGGCAGCTAGCTTGTGATTAGACTGCTGCCGGTCATTTTAAAGTTGTTCTTTTATCCATTTGCAGAGTTAAGAAAAAACAAAATTGTCTGACTATAATGTATTTATTTTTATGCCACATGCATCACTAGTAATGCAACTTTAAGTCATAAGTAGGTTGTAGTCTGACAAGCTACAATTGCGAAGAGTCCAGAGAAGATTCCCCAGCACTCTGAATGAAATATCTCAATAAAAGTAGGCATTTTTTTTCTTCAGAGAGTATATCGCTGCAATCTTTGTTTTTGTCGTTTTCAGTTATTTACATAATTTGAAAATGCCCTTTACATTGTGTGTAAATTTCATGAAGAATGGAGCAACAGAAATGGCCAAAATGTACTTGGAAAAAAGTCTGGTTCCATTGACTTACATTACTACTAAAGCATGCTTTGTACTTCTCCTGTAATTTAGCATTTTGGAGGTATGAAGTTTTGTTCTGTTATGTTAGTTATGTGACTCTAAAATACTTGAACCAGGAGTCAATTATATGACCAATAAACACCTTGCAGGTGCTGCTTTTAATAGCGTAGTGTGTTTTTGCTCCAATAAACTAATGTTTCATGTCACTAAAAACATAAGAGGAGAGAGAAAGAGAGAAGACTGGCCTTGTGCTTCAGCTCGATGGTTTTCTGCATCTCTGGAGACTCTCACACTGTGCTGGATCTACACTTCAGAATCAATCACTATCTAGCAGGCTTCAAAATACAATGAGACACAGAGTCAGGCATGGGGTGAGCATGCACGTATAGGTGTGCAAATGCTCGCATACATACGCGCATACAAAGGGCAATCGAATGAAATCTTAGAATCATTGCGTTGCTCCCATGGTAAACATAAAAACAAGTGGTGGTTAAATAAAACAGACAGGGCTGTGCTAGGCTGCATTTCACACTAGGGTGTGAGCATGAGCAATGGGTGTTATATCCACCTCTGTTGTGGTTCCTCTAGCGGGGCTGCAAAACACATCATCCTATATCTGAAGCAGAGAACAGCCTCTGAAAAACCATTGCTGCAGGGGTTGGACAATATGACGATGTGTTAGCATTATTGTGATAAGTTATGTCGTGATACAGTTTTCTCAGGTAGCAGAACTCTAGTTACTACACAGGTTATTCAGTTACCATACACTGGTTGTTAACATAGAACATCAAGCTTGGTTCAGGCATACATTTGTTTTCTAATGAGTGATTTTATTACGTGGATTTGATTTTCTTTAAAGTATTATGCCAACACAAATTTCACACAGTCTCATGGACTCTCTCTCTCTTTGTCTCTATCTCTCTAGTAAAGTCATGTTCTATAGCTGTGTTTGGAATAACTGGGAGATTCTCACAGAGTCAACTTCTCACAGGTAGGGAAAAAATGTAAGTGTACAGCCATACTGGTCTTTTTTAAACAATTTTTTTTTTAAGGATTGTTACATTTTCTTTCTCAAATAGTTTATTTTCAAACATGTTAAAGTCAAAATAATCATTATTTTTATAGAAATTTTAAATGTGGCACTGCTCTGTGGCTGATGCATTGTGTTCTAACTTGCCCTCAAAATTAGTAGACCAGAAATATCCTGATACATATCTTATGTTGTGAAAACATCTTCAAGTATTGTGATGTTATAGTTTTGTGATATTGCCCACCCTCGCGCTGCCACCCATCCGTGGAAATCAATTCTGCGTGTGTGCTGTCACTTGGGCCTCTCGTATTGGCAGATTTGTGCTTTGGAGGACATCACCTGGCACGCCTGCGAATTCTGACGGGCAGACAGACACACTGGGAATGTGCTACACATTTCTCTCTCTAAAAGCTTTGTCTATAGTAGTCTGCCTGCCTCTGTACACACACAGACACACGCGTCCCTTTTTCAATGGCATATGCTCGACTGTTCTAACACGTCCTACTGTTTGTCTGTAGATGAAGCTGAAAATGGAGATTCTCTTACAGTACAACTGGGTCTCATTTCTCTTGCATGAAAGTTGGAAAAAGTTTGCGTTGGAAGCGTTTGGTATCTTGGCGTCCACAGGGAGCGCAGGGTGTAGTGCCTTAGAGTTTTTTTTTTCTCCTCAGTCTCTCTCCCTCCCTTCTTATTTCCCCAATAAGAATAAGATAACACAAAGACCTGCTATCTGAAGATAAAAGTGAAATACTGCATAGTACTTTCCTTTTTCCTCAAGGCCTGCAGTAGGTAATGGAGTTTAAAAGTTACATACCTTTCTTAGACCTCACCAAGGTCACTTACTTTGGCCTTAAAAGCACTTTCGGTTTATTTCTTTTTCTGTACAAATTCAAGTGTCAACAGCGAAACTTTCTTGGGTCTCTTTGTTTCTCGTTTATTGCGGATCAATCCTAAGTGATTCTGCTACAAGGCTTCCTGGGCTTTTTGTGGTTTCACATGCTCTCGGCCCAATCCAATTGTGTGGGGGCTGGCCAGCACCAGTTCTGGGAAGATCTGCTCTAATTCTGTGATTCATAACTGAAGATGGAACATCCATCATTATAGATCTGCGATAGACATCAGTCAATCACTGTGCCTAATGTGATTAGACTGCTGCCAGTCATTTTAAAGTTGTTCTCTTTTCCATTTACAGGATTGTAGATCGAGGGAAAAAAACATTTATCTGACTAAAGCAGCTGGCACATAAGATAATTATTTTCATTACTTGTCAGGTACATTTAGTGGTGTAGGTAGGCATAATTTGTTTCTAGCTATTTAATCATACAGAAAAATAGACAGACATACACCAACACACATATGCAGAGGCCCTACAGATGTACAATATGTATTATTATTATTATTACTACTATTACTACTACTACTACTACTAATAATGAATCTTTATTTTTGTAGTACTTTTCATTTAAGTCACAAAATGTCAAAGTCCTTTACACTGGAATATAAATACACCATTGGAAAGGTAGAAAACATTTTGCTCTAAATAGAAAAAAAACAGCACAATTACAAACCAAAGGAGAAAATGAGCTACAGTGATCTAGGCATAAGCTAGCCTAATCAAATATATAGCAAAGTGGCCTGGGTGTGCTGTAACGCTTCAAAAATTCAACGAGATACGCTGGAGCAAGGACATTAAGAGCTTTAAATGTCATAAGCAAGACCTTGTAGTCAATGTGAAATTTAACACAAAGTCAGTGTAAACTGAATAAGACTGTATTTTAAAAAATATTGAGGAACGCCTTCCACTTAGTGAATTCACCTTCTTTAAGGTGCCCTCATTACTGTCGGAGGTGTTGAATAATGAACACAGAGCTTGCATAATCTCCATAGAAAAGTGTTGCCAATAGAACGGGACTCTATGTAGCAGATGCACGTAACGTGAAGTCATCATATCCAATGCCAAGGGTTGTCTAGCAGGGCATAAAGCTGCACAGCTTTGGGCCATAGGGCAGTAGGATGACGTTCTCTGGATGAAGAAACATCAAATAGTCATGGAGCTCAATTGAATAAGTTTGGGATGAGTTGGAGTGGTGTTTATGATCCAGAACTAATCATGCAACATCAGTACCTGACCTCACAAATGTCTGATTTCAACAGAAACAATGGACTAGCAAATGTCTACAAACCTTAAGATATATAATGAATGTAACTCTATAAATTTAATAAAAAGTCTCAAGCCTAATCCTAAACCTAACCTTAACCTAAATAGCTAAAAAGAAATTGTTTTGCCCTGTTCGTATAAAAAGTATTAAACATAGTTTTACTAAAAACACCTAAGAAACCTTAGAAGTTCATTCTAGGTTTGCCTTGTTTTTCTCTGCTTTTCCAACAAAGTCAGGACATTTTGTCCTGAAAATGTACAAAAACAAGGCACACATATGCACACCGACACACACGTATGCACTTCCCAGTCACTGCCAGTACATTATCGTGTCTCTTACATCTTTGTCCCTTTTAGTCATGAGAACGAGGCACTCCACTGCTCCAGATACAGGCAACACCTGGCCATAGCATGGTCACATGATTCTGAGGTCAGGCCCACAGTCTCCCACACACAATGGCTGGCTTTGTCCTCAGGTGTGCTACTAGGCTCCCATGTGATACACACTGTATGACACAGTAGGATAGGGTAGAATATATGATCAGACTGTTCATAACCAAGACACACCACTTTATGTATCAGGACTCTTTCCTGATGCAATTCTGTGCAAATAGCATACCTACATTACACCCAAAATGTGAATTTTAACTTTCCCCTCCGCTAAGGGTGAGCTTATTTTCATTGTTATTTGTCAAAAATGTCAATTGTTTTGTGAACACAAATTAGAGCTGGACAATAACATTCCATCATAAACTGAATTCCTATTGCCTGCCATGTCATATGTGAAATGTCTATGTCAGTCAAATCTTGGCAGTACATATTGGGTGTCATAGTAAGTGGGCAATCCTCGCATGCATTTTATTTTTTATTTGTGTAAATGCTATTGTTATTTCTCCTTATTTTCCGTGTCCTCTTTGACCGGTAAATTCTGAGACTACAAGTTGATAGTAAAAGCCATGTTTTGGTCAACATAGGCATTGTTTGATTGCCATTAATGCTTTAATAGAACAGCGAATTAGAGACCAGTGTTGTCCCTGCCACAAAGATTGGAGGAGCAAAGAAATAGAAAGATGACTTCTAGGCCTGGATGTTGCTTGACTATGACTTTACAACAACAGGAATCATTCTCAAGAGTGACTGTAACCACTACATTTTAGGAACACAGCAATAATGCCAAGTGCATCACTCCTTTGGTGAGGTAATGATTGAGCCATGTCAACTATTTCAGTGGACCTAAGACTGATCATTTTAATATGCACCGTATTAGAAATTCCATCATCCACAATTCAGAAAAACAAATCACACAGAAAATGTGCTATGAGAAAAATAAACAATTTATTGGATAAATAAACAGCACAGATCAAACATATTCAATAAATTTTAGATTCATTATAAAGATTTATAAAAGAAAAATACAGATTCTTGTACGCTTCAGTTGTTGAAGTTTGCCAATATGCACATGGATTGTGCTCCATAATGTGATACTTGGGACGTAATCCAGAGGAGCTGATGTTATCAGTCCACCCAGGTAAAGATGAGTAAATGGCAGAGGTGTATTCGAGGTCTTGACTTTTGGCTCTTCATTTCATGTCTTCAAATACTAGACTCTTAAAGTCTGGAATGGGGTTGGAGTGGTCATCCATAGATGCCCTTCACCTGAGAAAGAGAAAAGGGTATATTAGTTCAAATTGCTGGGTAATTTAAGAAGCCTTCAGACTTGATATCCATATTGAACTTAAATGATAGCTGTGCTTATCATGGTTCATGGAAATTACAGATCCAGTCTTTCTGTGCATGGGGCTTTTCGCTGCTTCTGTCATGGTTCAGTTTTGAGCCCTGTTCTAATGATGCCCTGTGTATAAAAAAAAATTTCATATTTTTGTTCTAGATAGAAACTTTATTAATCCTGGAGGAAACTGCATCATTTCTAATATTGTGAGAAGCTTTTTTATTTATTTATTTTTTTGAAACATTGTAAGCACAAAATTTGCTAGGCTGATAGATCACCCATTTGCTTAGTTGAGAAATGCTTAATTTATTAATATGCAGGGTTCTGAAAGCCTCTGGACAGGTAGAAATACATTGGGAAGATTGTTTCTTTGAAATATGAATAATCTTCCTTCTGCTGTTATGATTAACGTGAGATGTGTTATGATGCTCAATGGAAGATTCTGATTTTGTGGAGATTTCAAACAGACCTAAAGAACCAGAACCAAACTGTAATATATGCTATAAACATGCTGCTCAGTAAATGGTGAATTGATGTGGCAGTCTTTTCAGATCGTCCTCTCACTTCTATTCTTTCTGAATGGTACATGCAGTAAACCTGGGGCCATGTGTATCAAATGTCTTAGATACAAGATCATATCTCACCTGTCTAAGTGATAATTTTCATTAGGTTGTGAAAGGCAAAAACTGATTCTAGATCAGCATTTTTACTCCAAATGACTTGGCATGGTGAAAACAATGCTTTCATGATTTGCGTTTCTGAGTTCTGACTGCAGTAGAGATCTTTGCACTATTACTTTTGTATTTGTATGCTATTTGTTACAACTAATCAAACATATCAATGCGAACACAGCACACTGCAATAAATCCAGAGCACTATTTATAGTGAGATTACTGCACTGTGTAAACATTCTTGAAGTTCTTACAATATATGTATCCTTTGCATAGAAGCATGACCTTGAGTCTGTGTTGGTTACATCAGGTCAAGAGTATGTAGTACATTTTATCATTCTTCTCCTTTCTAAGAACCTTTCTGTTGAACTAGAATGCAATTAAATCGCACGATACTGTTTCATGTCACTTTGACACAGGCATACAGACTTTCAAAAAAGCTGTGTATACAGTGTACTCAACTATCCACACGTGAAACATGCCACATCCAAGTATTAAATGTGAAACTTAGAGCCTATCGTATCAGATATGTTCAGAAACTGACTCTACTGCTTTGAGGAACAAAAAATCTTAAAGGTCTTAAGATCGCCATGTATTCAGTGGCAACAATGAGGACAACAATAATGGCTGACAGGCGTCCTGCCTATTTCAGGTTGCACTTTTGTTCCCTTGTGCCCTGAGTCTTCTCACATGGATTTTCTTACTATCCCTATAACTCGATAAGATGTTTAATTCTTTTTGTGTATGTGTGTTTGTGTGTGTGTGCGTGCGCACAACAGTGGTCTGGGAGTGTCTTGCATTTTAGCCCTCTCTTAATTTACACTACCCTATTTTCTAAGACGTGGTCAGGAAAAAGAATATGTGATCAGATTTCACCTGTCCCTCCAACAGCCTCTCTACAAGTATGTATTTTATTTTGTTTTCAGGTAAATACGGCATATGATGGGAAGTAGTGGGTGTAACAATATACAAAGTTCACAATTTGATTTGATATGATATAATGGTATTACAACATGGTATGTTTTTGTGCAGCAGAAATAAGGAGTGGCTAAATATGATTGCGTTGTATTAAAATGTTAATGTTTGCACAATGTGCACAGCATACATACAAGCACACTGAGTGTAGCGATGCACATATTTTCATGTTCAATACAATTTTCAATTCTGAGGTCATTTTTTTTCCCCCCAATATTAAGAGTCTTGACTCTACATACCTTTATTTATATCTTACACACATTGGCTTGTTTCAAATAAATGAAAGTTCTCAAATAGAACTTTCTTTTAATACCTGCCACACCTGCCTTCTAACAAATTAAGCCTCCCAAAAATCACAACCACTAGAGTTTACAATTGATTTATAAAAAGCCCAGTCAATTAAGCATGAGTGTGTGCATAACATAAGCCCCTCTCCCTCCCTCCCTGCCTACTTTACTCTCATAAGCTTCATCAACATGCCTAGTTTCGATTGCCAGTGGTTTCCGTGAAAGATGATAAATGAGAGGTACTTGGAAGAGACAGTAGGGCATGTCTGCGGCACAGTTGTAAATTTCGATACACTGTTTTAAATTCAATTTTTTGACATGCATTGAAACTGTTACACCCTTAATAGCAAGTATCAGAGATAAGTTTAAGAGGGGTCTTTGTCAGAGCCTGTATGGAAATACATGACATTAAAAAGATGCTAATTCATTTTCTTCAAAGTAAGAGCCGGAGCCAAAATAGTTGCTGAAACTGTTTGTTCCAGATCAGCATTGTATAATTTATCATATATTCTGACCAACACTGTAACAAAGCTTAAAACCAGTTATCTACAAAGCCAAGACATAACTTGCAGAACATCAAAAGATATTTCTCTGGTGTGTCTGAATGTTGTTTGACAAACACTAACATATAATTGAAGTCCAGACTTCCTAGAATATATCCTTGTTTTGTGTATAAATAGAAGACATTTGTGACTGTTGTATGTGCTAGATGTATATTAAATTTCCCCACAGCTAAACAGTGCTTAGAGAGTGAAAGTGGAAACTATAAAATTTAGTATACTATCTCTATACTATTTGTGTAATGAATAAAATCTATATTATGGATTAAAGGAAAACCCTATGTACTTGGACGTTAGTAACAATTCATGGCATGTTCACAAGACTAACTGGTAGCAGGTGAAGAAAATCATGTGTCAAGTGGACAGCAGATACAAGGTACAACTAACAACTGGATTTTACCAATCTGTCCATGGTTAGACGTATACTAGAGCTTACATGTTCATGATGTCAGTGTTGTGGTGTTCTTTCATACAAATTGTATCTTTTTTTTTATCTTTTCTCATTCCCCAAATGTAATCTGCTTTAGTTCCTTGAACTAGTTCCAACCTGCTTTAATGCTTCAGTAGATGCTGCAGAATCAGCTTTGCAAGCAGCCAACTTTAGCACTTCACCCACTGGCTAGGTGAATTTTAGAAGGTCTCGTTCGATGAAGACCCAATAACAAAAAGCACTTCACTCCGATGGGATAAATTAAAAGCTCCAGCTACACTCTGTACAGTGCCTCGGGAGAGAGAGAGAAACACGTTTGAAGTCTGATCCAAGATCAGCGTAGATGTGTGTTTCAGCATCGTTCTCACTCGTGCTGACTCAGCACAATCCACTGCCCTATCTGTGTCAAACTCTCCACATACTCTCCATTATCTCTCAAAGAAATGGAAGTGGCGCTTGATCCACACTTACCCAAACCGAACCTCCTGACTCGACAGAGTCGTGCTGAGATTGCACGTACCACCATCCTCAGTTATCAAGTAGGAGCTTCTACATGCCATTGAGTGCTTCCATTAAACTAAGCAGTTCTCTCCATTTAGCTAGAATGGCTGTTTCTTCAAGTAGTCACTAATAAATAGCCTACCAAGGCACACAGTGTATTACGTGCCTTCAACAAGTACCTAGTGATATACATTAGCCTGTAAAACAATGCGCCAGTTTGAACTATGTGACACAAACGCATGAGGACCAATTACTAGGCGGTGGTCTGATGTAATCTGTCTGCTATAAGAAATAACGGGGGCAATTATGCAACAGGGCCTCAAAAGCTCTCAGTGAATTGTGTTTGAAATTTGTATGCTAGATATGTAATAGTAGCTTGGCTGAACATGTTGTCACTCTATGTCAGAACCTTATGACAACACATTTATTTGTTAGTTTGTTTGTTTAGATCGTTTGAAATCACCAGCTACCTTTTTGCAATGCGGAAGCATTTCATGACGAATTGACCAGTAGAAATGGTTAAAAATGACGAAGTAAAATCTTTAAAATGTTAAAATACATTAAAGATTTACAGTTACAGTGTGAGTTATGTTACGCGCTCATTTGAGGTAAGTCAAGATCATTTTTGACAGGGCAAAAGACAAATAACACATAGCTGAAGTAACTAGAGTTCTTGCAGTATTTAGCAAAGATAAGCAATTGTAGCATTCTTAAATTTCTTATACACTTTGCTACACTCCCAAACCTAAAAATGATTGAATGAGAAAATGCCTCTACTAACCTTTACTCTCGATGCTAGCGAGCAATCCTTGAAGCCATTTCACATCTCCTCTCACCTAGAAGGAAAATAAACAATGGTATGTCAGATGTAGGGACTGCAGATGGCTCCATATGACTAGGTAAATCAGATATAACCCCCCTGAACCTGGGATATCATGACCTACTTCTTCTCCCACCAACTCTTTGAGCTAGATAAACCCATGCTTTCACCGCATATCAGACGATATATAAGCAAAGTGTAGTGCAGTGTGCACTCCGCATCCCCCCACACAGCTGAGGTACATTGAAACAGTTTCAGCTATTATAAATCATTTACCACACATTCCATTCCCTCTTTTAACCCTTCAGTGAAAGCCCATTTGGTCTGGGTTAACAATATGTCCTCCAAGGAGCGTGTACATGTATGTATGGTGACAGGAAGCCTTCACTTGTAGTGACCTGTGGCCCAATTGTGTGCTGGATTGTGTCAGAGTAAGTGCTTTTGTATTGATGTGGATATTAATGATTTAATGTATACTGTTGATTTGCCTATACCACACAACATGACGCACTCCAAGAACCACCAGTCGTTAGATCATGAGACTAACAATACGTTATCTATGTCTGCCATAGCTTGCTAAGTCATTAGCTTGACAATTTAGGTTATATTCACAGAAACTGACCTATCCTGGCCTCTGCTCACAATTTTTGGGAGATTGGACAAACTTTATAGAACGCTATAGCACACAGCTCAGTTCTTGTCAGAACACCTAAATGTGGAGTGTTTTGTTCATTTCAAATTATATTTATTTTGAATACGAGTGAAATGTCGACAGTATTAGGTTAGGTTGTATGTAGATTTTTTTTGTTGCGTAACTAGTTGAGATAATGCTGGCAAACTCATGATTAGGTGCTTCTTCACTGCTTTGACTTCTTGCATTACTTCTCTTCAAGTTTTGTGAGGCGGGTAAAGGATTGTTGTGGACATAAAGTGCTGTTCTTCACTGCTTTAGTCTTGATATCCAAGGAGAATGAAGCTATTGCCTACCATTTTGCAAACCTGCACACAGAAAAGTGACTTATGGAATTGGACAACTGATCCAAGGTCCGGATGGAAGCTTTAGGTGTGAAAGCAAACCAGCGATTTTAAGCCCCATCTCCAAACAAGCCCAGAATTGATCCTTGGTGCGGACTCTTATATTTGACAGCTGTTTACATGTGTTAAATACTCGTCGATATTTCCAAATGAGTATGCAGATACTTGTTCTCAAAATCACCTTAAAAGCAATAACATTTGAAGTTTCTAAAGAATATAAACAGAGAGTGCTGCTGGTAGGGAAGTAAACATTTTGTATTAAAGGTGCTCTGTGGCCAGGGGTTCAAAATCTTGAGAATAACATGAAAAACCATGGCACTCTTTATTAAATAAAAAGCCTCTATTATAACATGGTACCTGATGGTACACATTCGCTTCTATTTTAAGCAATAGACATGTGTCTGACTTGCATGTGTGAATGAACTCCTTAGCGATCCAATCAGATGACACACTTCCACCCTCCACCTAATAATTCCATTCTGTGGCTTAAAAAAGATTAATCTTCCAAATGCTAAATAGAGAAATGAGGACAGATGTAACAGACATATACTCGTATATTAAAATTATTGGGATGGCCCTGCTGAAATCTCAGCATCATGCATCAATTCTAAACCAAGTTCGCTACAGTGTCTTATTGGGCTGAACAGGATAAAACTGTTTCCTTGAAACACATGCATACAAAACAACAGAACACAGCTTGACTGTCAATACAGATTTCGGTTTTAATGTGCTACACTTTAACAAAGACATCTGAGTGTAGCACACAGCCCCCTTTCTCTATCTCTCTCTCTCTCTCTCTCTCTCTCTCTATCTCTCCTTCTCTCCCTCCCTCCCTGCCTGCCTTCTTGCTCTGCCCTTGGCACCAATGGTTTGGTATCGCCTTGGCATGCTGGAGCGTTGCCATGGAAACCTGGATAAACCTCTACTCCGCCACTGTGCAAGATGGGTGAGGCCATGCGCTTGGGCGTGCATTTGTGCGCGCGCACACGCCGTGGTCTCTGACCCAGGCAGCGTATATCCTGGTCTTATACCGGGGGGCTCCAGTCTTTTCTTATGTGTACAAATGAATTCATGGCTGTCCAGTGAAGGTGAGAACTGCCCCTCCTCCTCATGGTTTACACACTACAGCAGGGACTGTCCCGCTGTGGGGTTACCTGTAAAACCCAGGACCGTAGATAACTATATTTGATGGTGAATTACTGTAAATTTGACAACATAGTTTTTAAACCCATAAAATGTCTGGCTTATACTATTTGCTTACCACATGATAGTATTGCAAGTTTTTTTTTTTTTTTTTTAAATTTTGGATTTCTTTTGGAAAGCAGATGATTAAATCAGTCACTGTAACTGTTTTGTGTGTATGTGTGCATGTGTATGCCCACCTATCCAGGGACATGTAGAGCTCAGACCACAGTTCATCCAGAAGTGATTCTTTTCATTAGCCATTATAAATAATTTAAGATTGTCTCTTCTCTCTACAAAAACAGGCCACATGCGCCACACATGCATGCACACAAACATGACCCACTGGTAGTGGCTTTCAAATTAATATTACCTCTGTCATTTAGCACTTCTGTGTGAGAGAATTCTTTGAATGTCTTAAAGCTCACATGTTCACAAGTAGTATTAATGATAAAAATAAGTATTTTATTGTAGGCTATTATCTTTGTAACCTAAGACGACACGTTTCTAAAGGGTTAATATCTGAGCTTACGTTCTCTCATTCCCTCTTTTTTATTTCCAAGATGGCAGAACCATACACTAAAAATAATCCCCTGTGATTGGATGGCTAATTTGAAGTGTCAATTATTCTTATGCAAATGTGAGCATTTTCTCACGTTTCAAAAGCGGAAGAGCACAGATGGCTACACAGAAATCTCCCAGTGCAAAGCAAAGCAGCCTGCCAAACAAAAAAGAGCTTGCATAATGTGACGCCGCTATTTGCATGTCTGTCCTCCTCTGCCATGTAACATCAAGCATTGCGGATATGGCTGATATGGCTAATGCTAAAAGTGCCTTGCACATGGTTAGTATGGCAGCGTTCATAAAAACGAAGAATAGCTAGCTTACATAGTGCTAACGCTATACATCAGCTGACTTCAGTTTCTTTCTATGGGCATTGGACTAAGAAAATGTGATCAAAATAAGGAAGGTTTTTTCTTTTTTATAGCATTGATGTACAGCAAGAATTTGTATGCTACATATGTCTTGAAAATTTGCACCCATAAAATTTCCATCCTTCAAATAACTCCTATATTAAATACATGGCATACTCATTTATTCATTGGATAATGGCTAGACTACTTTGAGCTTATTACCAATCAGGAGCATCTCATGCTATTAGAAATGAACCTTTCACGCCTGCCAATCAAGAAATTTCATCTCTGTGTGAGTCAAAAAGCAAACACCAAAATGAGGGCAAGAAAGGAAGAATTTAAAAGGAAAATCCAGACAGACAGTGGAAGAAAAAGACAGGGCAGGAGAGAGAGTACAAGAAGCTGCTCTCCCAGCGTGACCTGAACAAGCCACTAAAACGTGATTCCTGACAGTTCGCTCACGCTCAGACTAAGAGACAGCGGCCTCTTTGCTTCCACACTAAAGACCATGATTTTGCCTCAGACAAGTCCGTGGACTCACACACCTGCTGTGAAACCTGGCAACTCCCAGACAAATATGCGGATAAGCTTCAATGGGTTAGCACAGAAATGGTGGACAGCTCCGTTTTAGCTTTAAGAAGAAAGGGGATATTAGCATGTGCTAAAATTAGCCGAATGCTAACAGTTTAAAAGAAAGAAATGGCACATTTAAGTGTATAAGCATAAAACACAAAAAAGACCGTGTTCCTTGACCTTCTCAGCTGATGCTGTAGTGGGAGAAGAAAAACGAGAGCAGGAAAAAATAAGCTTTTCAGATCGAAAACAGTGGATCAAGCAACCTGCTGTGGCATCCTGTTACATCATGACAATGGAGCCCTTTCAAAGTCAGTCTCAACATGGCAGCCAGGTCCTCAAGTTCTGTTGATTGTCTCACACAGGGTCAAGAGTGAGAGGAAAGAAGGGGGGTGTTGAGTTATCTTAGACGATAATGGCAGTCTTCGAAATGAGACAGACTTGGTGTGTTAAGTTTGTTTTGACCCCTTACCTCCTAAGCTAATGTTGTTAGTCTGGAATGTTCAAAAAGTGACAGAACTGTCACAGTTTTTGAGCCTTGGATCCATTTGGAAGAAGGATCATGTTGCAGTTTCAGAGAGATAAAGAGAGTGTGTACAAGATTATGCAGTTAATTGTACACCAGTAGCATTGTTAGTGCTCTCAAAACAGGTTGGTCAACCCCATGGTATGTTGGAAGAGTTGGGTTTCTTTGTAATAATTGGTTATTCGTGTACCATATCTAGTAGGACCGAAAAATTAGGAAAATGTTAAGCCCTGAACAGTCTATTGATTTTTCACTGATGAACTTTCTTGAACTAGGTATATGGTTTAGTCAGTCTGATTAGAGTAGCTGTCAAAGGACAGCTAGACCTGATCTTATTTGGTTGAAAACTTTAACATAATGGCTTAGCTGGTTTCTATTAGGTTGACATGGCTTTTGGATCTCTTGTGAAAGGTGAAAGATTTGATGCACGTTTCTCAACAACAGAACCTTGTTGATCTCTGGCCATGGTGCTGATATGACTTCATATATATCTGAAATTTGTGTCCAACTTAATTCCTGCCAAATTTAAAAAGCCAGTAGCAGTATTTAAGGGCAATGCTGACCCTGATTCTACACCGTTTTTTGGCTTTTTCCATAGTGAAGGCAATGCTCTAGCTCATGGGTGTTCAAAGTCCGGCCCCAGGGCCAAATGCGGCCTGCGGACAGATTTTAATTAGCCTGTGGCTTCTGTTTTACTGTGTGTTTTAAGTGGCCTGCCAGCCAATAGGTTGCAATTTTTCCAACAATAAAAGAAGCCTCATGCATCTTTTATACATGGATAGGAAT